GTGCCACGCAAGTGCTATACGAGTAGTATTTGCAACAATATTGAAGCTGACGAGTAGTATGGATTGCAATACGCAAGTCTAAATGCTCAGAATCTAGTCACCTTCAGCTAGTCGTTGCTCGTCTTGTTCCCCTCTGGCCCATTACCTCCTGCCTATCTCCCCAATAAGCTATGCCTGAAACCCAAGTTTCTTCGACTCACCATACAATCTGTCACCTCGGCTTACACTGGCTGCGAACAAGGCTCCATATGCACTTGCTGAATTCAGCCCAACTAGCAAAAGGATATGTGTCTACTGGCGCTTCCTGAGGACCTTCATTGTAGTGTATCGCCTGGCAATTTGGGCAGTCTTGAATCAATACTCAGTCTTCTGCAGCTAGATGCAAGATAGGTACTGCAGCAAGTTGCATACCATCTGGACAAGGGTTCGTTGCTTCAACGCCCGGACCGAAACGACGAATGGCGATAAGGAACCGGTCAAGAGCTGGGCCAGGGCACTCCCACGAGGCGTTGATGCGTTGGAGACTTTCTGGCAGCTGAGGTGCGTTTAAGTGGCCGGCGGTGCGACATGCAACCTCGATCAAGACGGCTGACGGCAGACTGCATGTTCATCCACACTTTTGATATAGGCAATACCTTGTGCCGAGACACTTTAGAAGGCGAACGTCTCGTCATATCGACGACAGCAACTGGTGTAATTTGGACAAGTCTCGCAAGTGTATGACTGTCATGTTCCTCGAGTACCACCGCTGAAAGGTAACAGCAGGTAAGGTAGGTAACCAACCTCTGCTCTCTCGGAGATATCCACCGAACCGACTGATAAGCTTCCCCAGCCATTTGTACCTCGCTGATGGGGGAGAACGTTACAGATCACATCCTGTAAACCGCACTTCAACTTCACTGATTCATGAGAGAGATGCTAGCTGAGCATGTGACCCTCTTCCCCCTCTCAGTCTGGTCATTTAAGGTAAGGTAAGGCGGGTTGAGATCCTTCTTGTGTTCTTGGGTGGTCTAGAGTGGTGTGTTAGCGAGCTTCACTGTCCTAGATTGCGTTTAGTGAGTCGTTCCTCCAACCACCCCAGCAAGCAGGTCATCCGTCTCCACCTTTGTGCGCAGAGACACTGCCGGGTGTCCAATCGAAAAGCATCCCGTCATCTGCTTGCCCGCTTGTCCCAGCGTTTGCCCAGTCAGGGTGCCGCAGCAGTGCGCCGCTGCCGGCCACGGGTCTCTCCCAGCCTACGTAGCGACCTTCCCTGGCAAGTGAAGGCTGCGTCTGCAGAGGTACTGTGCTACCGAACGAACGCCTGCGGCCTACCTTACGGATACCTTACAGAGTAGGTACAGAGTACAGTGCTACCCATCACCGGGATTGAGGTAATGGAACCTGGAAGGCAAGGAGATGTCTACCCATAACCTCTACCATCTAGCAACCCCGAAACCTGCACCCATGAACTCCAAACTTCAAAGCTTCACCTTCCATCTTACACTACCTTACGTCTCACGGCCCACGTTTCTCCCTCACTCTCTCTTCCCTCCTCACGCACCTTCTCTCAGCTCCCAGACCTCGTCCTCCCATCTCACGCACCTCATCTGCTTCGCCCTACTGCACCGTACGCCCACAAGTCCGTCCGTCCGCATCCGCGTCCAGTCCGCACCACGACCCTCTCTCGAGCTATTCTGTAATTAAACACCTAGCGACAAAGCACTCGCCACAACATTCCTACCATAACATAGGCGTCGCCGTCCCTTTCAAGATATCGACCGACCAGAGCAACCGCGGGGCCTTCCCGCGGTAACATAGGCCGACCTGGACCCCAACTACAATCCGAATCCCAATTCCCATCTTATTCCAGCCAACCAACAAGTGCCCACCCCGCCGGACCAGACATCTTCAACCGCAGTGCCAACCCAAGCCCCCGCGGCTTCCCGCCCCTCCTCTTCTGACGATTCTACAACTTCGAGCCCCTACCAACCGACCCTCGCCCAACTCTCCTCGACTGTCCCCGAAGCGATAGCATCTCCCTCGGCGCCTCGTCAGGTCTTGGGCCGTAGACGAAGAGCTTCTGACGCGGACCGGGGAGACTCTCCTACCACGTCCGCGGCTGCCAGTCGACCCGGCTTACATCGTTCAAAACGCAGAAGAGGAGACTCCACCATGATCTCAGACGGCGATGGAGCAGCCTCAAATGGAACGTCGAGGACGTATTCCAACGGCGCGACGACGGAAGCCCCGCTGACTGCGTCCGCGACAAACGGTGCTCGCAAAGCCGCTGCCCTGAACGGCTCATCCCGTTCTGACAAGGAAGCTCAGAGATCCGTTCCCTCAACCTACTATGGACACGATCGCGAGGAGGTCACCCGCATACTCATACAGGCTCTGTCCGACATGGGATACCAGGGCGCTGCCGAGAGCGTAAGCAAAGACAGCGGCTACGAGCTGGAGAGCCCGACGGTCGCCGCCTTTAGGAGTGCGGTCGTTAGCGGCGAGTGGGGTGAGGCCGAACAGCTGCTCTTCGGAGCAGTCATGTCCGAGGATCGAAGCCAACCTGGGAACGGTCTCGTCTTAGCTCCTGGATCTGACCGGAATGTCATGCGGTTTTGGCTGCGGCAACAAAAGTTTCTCGAGTTGTTGGAGCAGCGAGATACCTCCCGGGCTCTGATGGTGCTGCGAACCGAGCTGACGCCGCTATACCAAGATACTCAAAAACTACATTTCCTCTCCAGTCTTCTCATGTGCCAGTCTACAGAAGACTTGAAGGCTAAAGCGGAATGGGATGGTGCTCACGGCCAGTCGAGAAAGGTTCTGCTGTCTGAACTGTCCAGTAAGTATCATCAATGCCTCTAGTGACATACAGGGTACTGATGAAACAATAGAATGCATCTCGCCCTCGGTCATGCTGCCGGAGAATCGCCTTGCTGTTCTTCTACAGCAGGTGAAGCAGAGTCAAATAGACAGCTGCCTCTGGCATACGACCGCATCATCTCCTTCATTATACTCGGATCACTATTGTGAAAGGAGTCACTTCCCTACTGACGTCGCGTTAGAGCTCACAGACTTGACCGGCGAGGTCTGGCAAGTTCTGTTCTCTCACGACGGCCAGCGACTGGCTGCTTGCGGAAGTGGGGAAGCTGTTGTCATCTGGGACTTGCCTTCTTTCTCGGTCTCTCAGATCTTGCGGCCGCATGCTCAAGGTGTCGGCGGTTTGTCGTGGAGCCCCGATGACTCCATGATCGTTACATGCTCACAGGACAAGTATGCCAGGCTGTGGGATACCACGGTGCGTAATTCCCACTCGCGGAATCTCTCCCTCGACTCTAATGCTAATATCTTCGTAGACTGGAGAGCTAATTCTGAAGCTCGAGCGATTCGAGGAGCCTGCGAGTGGCTGTGTGTGGGCAGCGGACAGTAAGACTTTTGTCACCGGATCTCTAGACAAGCAACACGGCTTGCGTACGTGGAGTATCTCTGGCGAGATGATGTGCGAATGGGGCAAGAAGCATAGAGTCCAGGACATCTGTGGTTCTCCGGACGGTCACTGGCTCGTGGCTGTCGACGACGAACAGAAGATTCACGTCTACAACGCCTTCACACGCGAGCTAGAGTACGAAATGGAGGTCAAATCTCGGCCGACATGCGTGAGTATCAGCGAAGACTCACGCCATTTACTACTCAACAAGAAGGATGGCGAGTTGCAACTGATAGATCTGGTAAATCGGACGTCGGTCCAGAAGTTCTTGGGTCACACTGGCGGCGACTTTATAATTCGGAGCGCCTTTGGCGGCGCAAATGAGAGCTTCGTTGTGAGCGGCAGTGAAGGTATGTGAAAAGCGACTGAGTTTATGATGGCAAAAACTGATGAACTGCGTTCAGATGGGAATATCCTCATCTGGCACAAGAATAGCGGGGCTGCAGTGGAGAGGCTTGAAGGGCATCAGCCTCGGACCAATGCTGTCACCTGGAACCCGGCAGACCCTTGTATGCTGGCTTCATGTGGTGACGATGGCAAGGTCAAAATGTGAGTTTGCTTCAGAATGCTCGTTTGCTATCGCTGACACCGCCCAGATGGTCGAATAAGACTCGGAGTACAGCCCTGAGATCATTACATAACGGCGCTTCCCGAAATTCGAATGGCTGGAGAGATGAAGAGCGTGCCGAGGAATAGCAGACTGCGGTGCGACTCAAGGCCGAGTAGATCAGGTTTGGAATCGGAATGGAAATAACCCCCCCCCCCCCTTCATCAACATACTATGGTGTCATGGCGTATTCTGGCTTGCGGTATAAGAGTGAGGTGTCAGGAGCCGTTCGTGGATACCACCACGGTTGGGTTGGCTCACTGCAATTAGAACGATCAATGCTGTATTACCGTCCCTGATATCAAGATTGTAATCGTAGCGATGCTGATTGCTGGCTTGCACAGTCCCTTAATGCAAGCATAGTTCACTGTCATGGAACGAAGAGGCACGCACTTGAAGAGCGCACCAGTCAAGATTGGCTTGGTTGCAATTTTGCCTCGCTTCTTTCCGCCATGAACGAGCGGTCAAAATGACGGAAGGTAATCCCTCATGTGCATGCCTAGTCTGGCCCATACAGAGTCAATTCTTGCGTATTTCTAGCAAGAGATTGCGGCAGCGACGTCAACCCGAGAAGGGGCAGCCCACAGCATCTTGCAAGTGCACACTGCCTGCTTGAAAAAATTGTTAGAAAGAAGCTGTCCATTTCCCTCCAGTAACCCCGACTACCACAGACCGACATCGTTCATTGACTTTCATCATCCATCTAATCTTCTAGTAACCGTCCATCGTCTGCCGCCTTGGCTACTTAAGTCTGTCGTTTGACATTTCTTAGGTCATCGACCATACTCTTCAGATTGCATTCATCATCCTCAGATCAACATGGATCGGCCCAAAAACACGAGAGCATCCAGCAGCGCAGGGCAACGGAGGCGAGAGAACAATTCAACAGAGACAGTGCAACGGCGAGAGCCAGACAAACAGCCCATCATGGGACAAGTCCGATCACACAATTGGCTGGCCAAGCAACGGGAGACTACTACAGAAGCAGCGCTATGCCCATGCATGGTGTATGCTCGCACCGCCGAGAGACTCGAGCGAGCTGCCTATGGCGAAGACCCCTTGACTCCACCTTCAGGTGGTTGCAGCAGTCCATGTTGGTCGTGTGTCCTGAGCTCTATAAGTAAGGAAAGTCTCTTAAGAACCTTGCAGGCATTATCTGACTGCTATAGTGTGCAACTGGAGGAGGCCGCTCAGCAACCAACGTGGTGACATTCGGAACAGATATGCCATCACGGGCAGCACCGAGGACGACGAACTTCACGCCTGTGCTCACCCATACTGGACTCTCATGGGGAATCACAATGAAGTCCTAGTGCGAGAGAAAATATGTAAAAAGTTTAACACCTACCCTTTTTCGCCAGGACCTCCACCAGTTGAGATTCGTCGCTTCAAGCCTCAGCCCAACCACCCGTATAAGTCGCCCGCGCAAATGCAGATGAAGGAAAAGAGCCTGCCGAGAATTGTGGAGTTACCTGAATCCGGTAGTTCAAAGGAGAGAGCAAAGCCACAGAGTCCGCCAGTGAAGGCTACCCCAGAGGCCAGCTCCCAGCAATTGCCTCCTCCTACCAGTAACAAACACACTCCTGCGAGAACTCCCGATACCCAGCAAAGTCAGAGTCCGACTCTGAGTTCCCAGGATCCCCGCGTCACAGTGGCTGACTTCGCTGAGCCCCACCGGCTCAGTCAAGACCAAAAGAAGCCAGTTGGAAACAGACAATTCCCGCATACTATTCACAATGACCCTCTTTTTGGAATTGCGGAAGAAATTCATCCGCATACTGTCCACGAGGACCCAATGGTTCAAGTGGCTCGACGGCTCTCCCCTCATCAGATCAACATAGATCCCAAGACAGCAACACCGGCTGCCAGCCTCCCTCATAGCGTTCACCAGGATCCCACTGTCAAAGTAGCTCAGGAGCCAACGGAGCACACGGTACACAATGACTTAACCACCAAGACGGCAACTCCTGTACACGATCATAGGCTTAGCCAGGATATCATGGCACCAGTCCGTACACAAGTAGTACCCCACAGTGTCCACGACGACCAGACGGTTGGTATGCAGGGCCAGACAGCTCCACACGCCCTCAGCGGAGATCCCACGGTCAAGGTTGATGAGGGCGAACCGAAGCAACACGCAATGCAATCAAGCGCAGCGACTGCGGCACCCGAAAACCAGAAGCCGAACCCCCACCAATTAGGAGATATTGGCCGTGCTTCAACGGCACCGGCCCCGCTGCAATTGACGCGCAATTAACGGTGTAGATTCATCTCTGGTGGCGAAGAGAAGGAAGGCGATGGAGAGAAGAAATCAAACCGTCGAATAGCCTTATGATTATAGTCCGTAGCCGCGATCCTCGGAGGCGTTTTCCAACAGTCAATAACTAGTATCTCGTATGCTCATTACCACTTCACTCTTTGCGCATTTGAATAAGTAGTGGCGTGGCCTAAGTCTTCATGTGATTATGAACAAGGAAATACCTCATGTCACTGCTCTGTATGCCTGCCACCCAGGCTCCTCTTTCGGTTTGGTAAAGTCAGCAAGGATCAAGTCTAGCATCATCCACCGGCGCGGTCAACGCTGATGGATCGTTGGATAATCAAGTCTGAGTGTCCGATTTAATTCGTAACACATCAAGCTCAAGACCACCTCACCAACCGCTCTTGAGGCATTCTGCGAAGAACTTCATCAGGGGAAACATCTCCTCCCGATCACGGGGCATGGCCACGTCTTTCCTCTTCCACTTGACGACCCTGACATCGAGGAACTCTTCCTTCACGGCATCAAAAGCGTCGTCGTCGAGCTGGACCAGACACGCTTTCGTCTTGCACTTGCCCCGCGTGCTGACTGTGGGAACCATAGAGGGTGGCAGGGGACCTCCGATCGAGAGGACGCCTTTGAGGGTGTTTTCGTCAAAGTGGCTGTCGTTCCTCTTAGGTTTAGATGCAGCTGTTGAGGAAGCAGCAGCGGTGGGATTGGAGGACTCAGTCACGTCTACGACCTTTGGGCCGAGACGGAGTTGCGATGCGATGCCCAAGGCCAGGGACCCGCCTTGGCCGAAGCCGAAGAGGATGATGTCGCTGAGCTCCCAGCCGCAGCGGGCGACGAGTGTGTCGCGGATGAGGCGGTCGACGACGAGGGTGGAGGATTTGGAGAAGCCCGGGTCCGTGGCGAGGGCGTCTGTGGAGGGGTCGAAGGTGATGTCGTCGCCCCAGTGGAAGTGACCGGAGCTTGCGGAAGTGGAAGAAGGGTGACCGTCATCGGGCAGCATGGACGGGGGTAGCGGGGAGGGACCGCGAAGGGAGATGGAGAGGACGCCCGGGAGGGACATTGCGCGGGCGAAGGCGGCGAAGGGGGCCTCGGAGTCGCCTAGGCCGTGGAAGAGGAGGAGGATTGCGGTTGTGGATTCTGGGGGGTTTGGGAAGGCTAGGCTAAGGGGGAGGACTTTTTGGACTTGGGTGAAGTCTTCTGGGGTTGGGATCCGGGGAGGCATGTTTTTCGTTGTTGTTTAGGTTGTGATGTGAGTCTGGACTGTGTTCTTGGCGTTTAGGTTGAGTGTGAGTGGAAAGTCTGCGGTTTCTGGGAAACGGGATGCGTTGAGTAATCGGGCGAGAGAGAGAGAGAGAGTATACCCTGTTCTAGATTTTTTTCTTCGGCCGGGATTTGATGAAAGGCGCTGAGAAGGAATAAAGTCCGACAGGCCGCGTATATTTAGTGTTTACGGGCTGGGTTGCCTTGGTGAAGTGTTGATCGCGTGAGGTGGGCAGGGATAGGTGTGTGTGGATGAGTTGAGCAGTCAGGTCGGATGAGGTGAAGTTATCTCCAAGTGGGGCGGGACCTTCGGCTCCTCACACTGGGAGTTTGAACTTTGAACTCTCAGTGATACGAGCTTTTTTTTTTTTTTTAACTTGCTCACGCAGTGACGAGTGAGCGTTGTGTGGGTGGAGGAACAAGACGTAAATTAACAGGTAGAAAATAACCCAATCATTATCTCCACTTTTCCCCGACGAAATTCAAGCTTCAAACGCCATGTGTGATAGATTAACAGTTTTCAGCCTCTCAATGCTTACAATCACCGCAGGGCTGATTTTAATCACTTGCCTCCCACCTACCCAATCTTTCTCGCCCACCGTATGTTTCCCGTGAGCGTGTAATATGGGGAGCCAATAACCTTACAATCTATCCATGATTACTTTCTTCAGGGACACATGCTGGACATTAGATCTGGGGAAGAGGCCTAGACATTTATCTCTCTGATGGATTCGAAGAGATCTAGCGGCTAAATCTGACCCTCGCGCTCATGCTGCTCTTCACACAGACACCAATCTCATCTCTTCTTCTAGGTTCAGGCTGTCAAAAACATCAGTAAAACTCGTCTCAAGATTGACTTTTCCTGTCGCATGAGCGAGAGCCGCACTTCAGCACCGCCGTCAGCTAGTAACCTCAGTTCTCCCTCAGAGCACTCCGTGCTGGCTGTCCTGCAATCTGTCCGCACAGTTCAGGCGGCGACGGCTGCCTCGTGGCCAAGTGGTTGCGTGTTCGTCGCAGCAAAAGCACGCACAACGTTGCGCTGCGCCGGCTGACTCGAGGCCTTTTTCTCGTATCCTTACCCTCTTCTCCAACTGCTGTGCCTTACTCGTCGCCATCACATCATGAGACGACATGCAAGACGACTCGATGTGGAGGGGATGGCATTAAGGCTCAGCCTCCGTGCAGGACAAGGAAGGCCCCGGAACCGGCGTCTTTAGACGTCTAGAGGGACGATCCACGAGTGTGGTTACTGCTCGCCGGGTCTCCAGATTCTCTTTCTCTCCCGCCCCCAGTCTCCCTCTCTTTCGACTAGTATTCTTCGCCACAAGACAGCGAAGGACCCGTTCTATGTTTGTACAAGATGATTGTCCTTGGATCCCAGTACGGAATGATCTCACCCTGAAACGTCCTCCGCGCCCGCCGCCAGCCCTGCTTCCTCACTCTTCTCTTTGCCTCTTTCGAGGAAGAAGAGGAGAAGCGGGTATCGTTACACGCTGACGAGAGTTGGTCACTTCCGACGGCGCCGCCGAACGTTCGTCCTGTAGCGTCAGTGCTCTTCCATGCATGGAGACACAACATTAAGATGAGCTTGTTCGGTGTAGGTAAGGCAGTCGTAAGAAAAGGCCTCCACTCGATCTATAAGATCGTCAGACATCCCGCCGGGCTGTTCAGATACCCAACTCTCTCATCAACTCAATCTCTGTTGTCTCAGTTCCGATACCTTCACTTTATCTTTCTTTCTTCACAGCTGTGCTGTCGTTTCCAACAGACCCGTCTTTCGCTCTATAAACATATATAATCAATTCCTTTCTATTATTAACCTTCTTTTCTTATAAAATATTCCACATCCCTCAAAATCCAGAGACAAAATGAAGTTCTCCGCCGTTTTCACCACCCTAGTCGCCGTTGCCTCGGCCGCCCCCTCCCGGGACATCTCCTCGTCCGGCAGCAAGCTCCAGAAGCGCGCCGCCGTGTTCGCGACAGCTAAGACCTTTGACGAGCTATCCATCAGCGGCAAGAACGCCGGTACCGCAAAGGAGGACGCCCTCCAGAAGTTGAGCGGTCTGCCGACGGACTTGTCCACCGTCGACAAGGCAGATCTGGCTTTCCTCAATAACGTCAACAAGATCGCCAACCAAGCCGAGCGCGGTGCCTACAATGTTGAAATTGCAAAGACGGCACCCGGCGAGGACGCCCTGGCTCTTCAGGTAAGATATCGGGATCTTCTTCTAGCTATTGAACCAGGCGACTAACACGGTACCACAGCGCGCAAAGATTCAGAACAAGGTTCTCAAGCTCACGGCTACCGTCATGGGCCTGCAGGCCCAGCAGGCGCAGGGCAAGAACGTGACGGCCAAGCTAGACGAGGAGACTAAGAAGCTCAACAAGAATATCGCCGACGACGTCGCCAACGCCGGCAAGCCCGCGACCGCCCTCAAGTTCAACGCCTCCACCGACAACCCGGCCGCCACCGAGGTGCCCAAGGACGACGCCCTTGCCACAAAGGCCGGCGACGTCGTTGACCAGTCCATCAAGGCCGCCGGAGGAAACGCTGGCGCTGCCGGGGCCAAGGGTACGGGTAAGAAGGGAACCAAGACGGCGAATAAGGCTGTTGTCGAGGCTGCTGAGGTTGCCGAGGAGGAGGATGAGGAGTAAAGGAACTTCACCTGTCTCGCAGAGGTGAGGTCGAGGTTTATGTAACCGGAATAGGGGGGTGGTTTGGTGTAAGACTCGTTCTGGGCTCTGGTGGCTCGCGAGTATATTCTGGATAAATGTTTAAAGCAACTTTCAATCAATCTTCCTACGGTGCCGTGCCCGAGCTTGTCTCAGAGAGTGAAGGTGCTTCCACAGTGTAGTTGCGCGCGTCAGGGATGCCACTACACAACTACTCTCTCGTTGCGATTCTAAAGGTCGACAAATCATTGGTTGATTCTGGCCCAAGGGCATGACAACTTCAGTTGCGAACATTTTGCAGCTGATCGTGAAGACCATGCCCCAAATCTGCTTTATTCCAAACTTGCGCGAAGTACCTATTGAGTTATCAGAGCTCTATTTCCAAGTTCAATGTAGAAACAAGCGGGTAAGACGTGTGAAAATAAGGACATTACCAGAACTCCTGAACCCACGAAGGCCGAATATGATCTACATGCCATCTGAGATCAGACGGCAGACATCGGGGGTGAGTATTGTTTGGTGGATCAAATGGACGTCACTGGGACAATACCCCACGATGTGTGATAGACTCGGCAGATCTTTCCGATCACCTAATATTTTCTAGATCACTTTTCTGGAGAATCTGCTTGCTCAGTCTGCGTAGGATATAGTTCCAAATACTTCACAGAATTATCCAACTTATTCACTCGTCGTGTCAGTCAACGAAGACCTCCAAAAAGGCGCATTTTCCGTGCTCTCGTGTCAGCCTATCGAACTCACTTACACGCCAGAGACCTGGATTCAAGAGTGTATTTTCTCCTCCCTCTGCATTTCGCAGGAAAATTCAACGTGCAAATTATGTCAGTCACGCCTGCCGCAAAAATTCGGCTTCGTCTACCGACGGCGATTCGCCGAAGGGCAGGGGAAGCCCGCGATGAACACCCCTGCCTCTAACACGTTTCATCAACTCTCCAGACGAAGAAGATCCCCACCACCTTACACCGCAAAACCCCAAACCGTCACATCGTCGCCGCATCTCCCGAACACATCCCTCAGACTAACCCGTATTTGGACCTGTGCATTCAAGCATTGTGACGGAGAGGCTGCAAGAATAAAGAAATGAGCTCTCTCCCTCACCCCTGTTCGTCTCATCCGTACTTGAGCTTCTTTTGGCTTCGATCCCTTTTGGGATGTTGCTTGAGACGACAGGTCCCCCTTCTTCTTCCTCTCTTCCCCTCCTCTCCTTCTTGAGGCGTAAGGGCTCTACTTTGGGATGCGATCCAGAACACAAGCGAGGGTAAAATGTGCTCTTATTTGCTTACGGCTGGCTCAGCCGAGAAGAAGGGACATGAATGACCAGGCTCTTCCCATTCCTTGTCAGGATTCTGCATCAGATCTCTCATCATCCCATCGGTAAGATCCTGGGAACCAAAATCCGAATAGTTCGGTCCCCTCGCGTCGAGTTGCTCGCTTGTTTGAGAGTTGGCCAGCTGAAGTCAGGAGGTGTTCGTTTTGACACATCGTGAGCCACCTTTATGAATTATAAGCTTGACAGTTAAGAGAGGGGAAGCTTAATCGGGCCTCATGCTCCAACCCCCGAGCAGAGGTATATAATAGCCATTTCTCGCTCGTCCAATCTTTCCTTGACTATCTCTGAGCCCATCACCACAGTCCAGTCTCTTCTGCTTCTCTACCGCCGGCCGGACACTCTTTTTCATCTTTCCACTATATCACAACTTTGAACCACAAAGAGCCTCTCGTTTCATGATTTCTTCCTTTTGAGATACCCCAAACCCAACGCCGTAACATCTAAACACCATGAAGTTCACACTCCAAACTGCCCTCTTCGCTCTCACCATGGCCATCGGCGCCAGCGCCGCAGCCGTAGAGGACCCCACCTCGGCCGCAGCCCGCCGCGACGTCCTCCTGATGGAGCGTCAGGGCGCGAACGCCAACCGGCCCGTCCCCAACGGCGCCTGCTGCGTCGCCAACACGAGCTTGAAGCAGGACGTCTGCAACGTCAACGGTCAGACTGGCCGCTGTGTTCCCGACAGCATCAACAACTGTAAGGCTCACCTCCCCACCCTTGATACTCTAGTGTGTGTGTGTGTGTGTGTGTGTGTGTGTATGTGTGTCTTTGTATGTACCGCTGTTTGCTAACGACTCTCTCCGTATAAAGGCGGCTCAAGCTTGACTTGCATCGAGGACAGCCGGTTGGATTGTGACCCGAACACGCTCGAGCGTGGTCGTCCCCTTTGCCGCCGCAGACAGGGAGCGTAAAGGGGGTGCGGTCGCGGGAGGAGTAATATGAGCGAGCTTTGGTGATTTCTGGTTTTTCGGGTAGCATGGTATCAGTCACATCAAGATACCACCACGATCAAAAGCGTCCAAGTTTTGCTCAAATTCGTCGGTTGATCAAAGTAGAACGGAAAAGTTGCGATAGTGAACAAACTCTGGTCTTTGAAATTCGTACGCTATTCTAGATAACTAAAGCAAAAGCAGGATCATCACGCATCAAAGTTCACCGTGGCACGCTCTCTTCATCATCTACTAGTGACCGACCCCTAATCATCGAAGGGCCCGGCTGCATGTCTATCCATTTACCTTCCGCATTCCAAATGCCAGCTTTAGTAAAGTCATAGCTTTCGCTGCCTTCCATGAAACCAAAACGGAAGTATTCATTCATGCCGAGATCGCTCTGGCGGCTCCAGAGGAAACTCGTTGGAGGTACGGGTCCGTCATCGAAGTAGGTACGGAAGCGCTCCACATCGTTGACCAGAACGCTGATGCCGTCGTAGCGCGCTCCATCGGGAGGGGTGGCCCAAGTGAAGTTGATACTCCACATAGCTTGGCCCAGGTCGATGATGGGTGGGAGGATGCTGGGCAGGACCGACCCATGCTGGGCGTCGCCTTGGAGGGCCGCAGGTGTCTGGAGAACAGCGTCGAAACCCCAGCGGGCGATGCCGTTGATGAAGAGACCGACTAAAATGCCCTGATATAGCAGTGAAGGTCTGGTCTGCATACTTGTGCCCGGGAGCAAGAGTAAGGCCAAAATGTAGTGGTGGATGCGTAGACTCAGGTCTGGGAGGACAAGGCATACAATGATGCCTGCCACGAAGAGGAGGTACAGCTTGAGGTATTTCAGGAGACGGCCCTCTTGTCTGAAGTACCAGATTTGCTTGGCAGTGATCACTACCAAGACGATGATGATGATGGCCAACGCTGCTTTTGCTCCCGGTTGTTGGTTCAGATCATGCGCATTCAGACGCTGAATCGGAATGAAGCTAAAGGTATAGTTGGTAAGCGCACCAACCCAGCAACCACCGAGCCACAAGATCGTCTTCTCCACCTGAGCAGTAAGTCCGTTGAGCGTTCGTCGAATTCCCATCTTGTCAAACATGACCCAAGCGCAGAACATCGCCGGGAGGTATTTTCCAACGATATTCGATACTAGGTCCGCAACCGAGTAGTGATTCGGGGGATCGGAGGCGAGTCCGACATGCCAGAATATGCCAGTAAAGATTGAGAAGAAGAAGAGGGCAGGTGATGACGTGAACAGAGAGAGGACCGTCGTGAAAACAACCGAGACCGCCAACAAATTCCATCTCAGGTCTTTGGCGCGGCATTGAATGCCAGGCTCGAACGTGAACGAGAGTGGGAAGTAGGAGTCAAAGCTGATGCTGTCAATCCCATTCTTCTCCGAGCTCAAGTAGTCCTCGTTTCGCCCAACGAGGCGGACAACACCACAACCTCCATTATCGTTGGATATCACACCGGCATGAATCGCAGCGGCGCAGATGAACGAGTCACCTCGGTAGATCGGCGAGCTCGAGTTGTCGGTTTGTCCGCCGATAACAAGCGGCTGGTAGACAATCTCCTGGTCTCCGACCGCTCTTGGATTCAAGACCATGTAGCCGGCGCAATTGGCTGAGCACCTGAAGGCAAAGCCGCTGCCATTGAACGGGCGGCAGTCCGCACCATTGAGACCGCAATTGTTTCCTCTCGTCCAGTATGCTGCACCACACCCAATCTGCGAGGGGGCTCCCCATCCTTCAACTTCTGTAGCGAATGTCTCGCTCCTCTTCACCAATGCAAATGTGATGATCCAAATGGCGAAGTAGAAAAAGACGATGCCGACCCGGTGCCTGAATTTTCGAAGGTATCGATCAACCAACACAAGAGGGAACTCTTGAACCTGCGGAAAGATGGGCTTGATCTTGTAATCGTGTGGGTTTGGCGGGCCTTTGGACCATTTGGCGGTAGCCTTCACGATGCGGCGCACCGGGAATGGCACCCATCTCCAGCGCTTCCAGTGTCCTTCGTCCTGCATGAACCGGGGTGTCGATGGGCCGGAGTCGTCATCGACTTCGAGCTCGCGGCGAGGGCTGTCCTCAAGCGGCGCATCGGGATGTTCTGTGGCATTTGCCCGGTTCGTAGGCTCGTCGGCCTGCTGTCGCTCCATGATACTCAAGAGCGGTTCCTGCTCATGTCTTCGGTCATCCATGGTGGAGGAATGTACGTGGGGGCTAGGCAAGATATGTAAGGTGAGTCGTCGACGATTCGGCGGATCGGACAAGGGGCGAGACCTAAGGACCTAAGTGGTTAGGAAACCGAGGGCGGCTACGCCATGACGATCAGTCAGCAAGAGGAAGGCTCGGCATTGGGGTCGGGCGAGAGGTCATACCAGAAGGGCAGTGAACAGTGGTATCAATGCGATGCTATCAAGTGACGAGGTTCTCTCGGTCGTGAAACGAATGTTTCGCTGGCCTCCCATCGAGTTGCTCACGGAGGCGACGCATTGGCTTCGGAAACTTCAGACGAAAGAACGGCAGCCTATGGGTGACAGCGCTGTGGCTGAGGGACAGCTCAGGAACCGCATTAGCCAGGTGATTCTGAAGCAGACGATCCCGCGGCACCGAAGCACCTCTGTTCCCTGTCTGACTTGGCCCTGGCAGGTGGAGCATCGGGTGGTCCTTGCGCTTGCCCGGCGTTCCGCGTGGCGACAAAGTGCAACATCAAAAAGGCAGTACGTACCGAGGGTGCCGCTTTAGTGGACCAAAAACGGACAGAATCGCATCCTGCTTCGGAGCTGCGGCGAACGGGTGTCGGAGGGGCAAGCGACCCGCATTCTCTAGCCACCGATACCCCACGCCGGGTCTCAGCCACATGACGGACCGACTGCCATACCGATCTGGTGGCGCAGTCCAGACGCCCGTCCTCAAGTGTTTGTCGGGAAAAACGGCGAGTCATTTGTCAGAAGCGCGATTGATCTCGCGCGTTCATCTGGCTTTAAATGACAAACTGCAACTCTCTCACTTGTTCATGCTTAAAATGATACTCTGGCCCCCACGTGTTTAGACTTTTTCCGTCACCGACATCGCCCTTGCAACTTTGACATGTGCTTAGAATCTCAAGGTTGACCTTTTTCCAGGCTCACGATATTATTACCGCACTATCGAGAGTGAACCTCTCAACTGAGGCATCCTATGCTGCATATATGCTTAGGGTCACTGTTGGATCAATCCCAGCCTCCAGCAACGCGGTTGATGGCGCTAGGGCTTTGTCTGTCACTGATAGCTACATAGACAAATGACCCAGCTGAACCTTGCCTTCCACACTCTTTCATCTTAGACTGAGTTGGATGCAGCAACTTTCCTGGCTTCTATCGCCTTCTTTTGACCCATTTAAACCGCCAGTCAACTTGGCAACCATGCACCTCATTGGCCATGGTTTTCCGATAGTGGATGCTATGGACTGGACTGGGCTATCCCGTACCGACAATTCATCGCTTCGCGACGGCTGTCGGTGTGCATGTGCTACCGCTTCATCCCTACACGTGTACGCTTCGTCGGCGGGGGACTTGTTCTTGTTGAGGAACCTCTAGCCGGTAAGGGACTTGTAGCCAAGCAAGGTACGCACTTTTGCCTTCGCTTCTGTTGGTGTTGCTTTTTCCGCGTCACTCCTTCGCCTCAACTGAGTACTTGAGTGGTTGCAAGAGCTTCTCGTAACCAACTTGTCTCGTGACCTCCTTCCCTCTCAGACTCAACACTACAGTTGTTCTGCCACATTTATTAAGGTGCCAGAGCTTAATCCGTTCCTCTACAACAGTCAACCTCTTATCTAGACTTCACTGTCTGTGACTTTTCTTCCCGTCTATTCTCTCATCGGCTTCTCCAGAGGTGATTCCTTTTTATTTCAATCAGTCAACCTGTCTTCCATATACCCCCCTTATCAAACAACTGATAAATATGCCTATTCTCGACATCACCAAGGATATCGCTGCGCTCTTTGAGCAACAGGCCAAGGCTACCCCAGACGCTGTGGCCCTTGAAGATGAATCGCGAACCTTTACCTATGCGGAATTGGACCAAGAGACGCAGACTCTCGCCGATCAATTGCGTCGAGATTATGGAGTCGGCAGAGATAGCCTCGTTGGTGTGCTCATGAGCCGAAGCGCCGACTACGTGATCGCTTCACTAGCAGCTCTTCGCGCAGGCGGTGCTTTCCTGGTACTTGAGCTCGCATACCCCTCCGGGCTCCTGCGCGATGTCATCCAGGATGCAAAGCCCTCAGTGGTTATCACTCAAAGCGCACACGTCAACCACATCAAGGCAGAAGTGCCTATCATTGTCATTGATGAACCCAGTAAAACGACAGTCAATGGACACGCAAACGGCGAGCTTTTTCCATTGCCTGCCAGCGATGATCTTGAACGCCTCATGTTCGTCTCATACTCTTCTGGCACCACTGGCCAACCGAAGGGCATCTGCAATCCCCACAGAGCTGCAGTGCTCTCGTATGACCTCAGATTTGGTCTCAGCGATTTGCAACCGGGAGATCGTGTAGCTTGCAATGTGTTCTTCGTGTGGGAGATGCTTCGTCCCTTGTTGCGGGGAGCGACCGTCTTTGCTGTTCCGGACAGTGCAAGTTACGACCCATCAGCTCTTGTCAACTTGCTTGAGTCTCGGCAAATCACAGACACGCTCATGACACCTACCTTGCTGGCAACCGTCTTGTCTCGTCACCCTGACTTGAGCAAGCGCCTGCCCAAGCTGCGGTCCCTCTGGTTGAACGGCGAGGTGGTCACAACTGACCTCTGCCGCAGGGGTATGAAGGCCCTACCCGAAACCAGGTTCCTCAATGTTTACAGTGCCTGTGAGACGCACGAGGTTGCAGCCGGTGATATCAGCACATTCATTGACTTTGAAGCCCGTGTCTGCCCGGTTGGACCGCCGATGAATCCGGAAAACATCTACATCATGGATGAAGACGGCAACAGAGTTGGCAACAACATCAGCGGAGAGCTATATGTTGGCGGCGATCTCTTGGCGCGGGGTTACCTCAACCACTCAACAGAGACAACAGCCAAGGCATTCCACCCGGATCCCTTTGTCAACAAGGAAGGTGCGCGCATGTACCGCACTGGAGATCTTGCTAGAGTCCTTCCCTCTGGTCTCCTGGAGATCACTGGTCGAGCAGGTGGTATGATCAAGACTCGTGGCTACACCGTCCAGCCAGGTGCTGTCGAGAACGCCATTGTGAAGCACTTGGCTGTGAGTGACTGCGCTGTCTCCTCTCACGGCGAAGGCCTTGAAAGGCAACTTGTTGCCTATATTGTTCGTGATAACGATGACAAGCGAGGCCGAGGAGATGTAGTCATTGACGAGTCTGGATACAGCCCTGCAGCCAGACGCGTACTGGGAGAGCATCTTGCCCTATACATGCTTCCGACTTACTGGGTCGAGCTTGAGCAACTCCCTACTCACGGTGTCTCCGGCAAGACTGATCTGAAGGCCCTGCCGCCGCCGCCAAGCCCCAAGCTTGCAGTCAATGGCGAAAAGGAGCAAAACACCAAGGTCAAGCTCGAGACCGTCAAGAAGCTGTGGGCCGCTGCCCTCAATATGCCTGATAGTGCCATCACCGAGGAGCACGATTTCTTCGACATTGGTGGTCACTCTCTCATTCTCGCAGACCTTGCAAACAGATTCGCCAAGGAGTTTGGATTCCCAGTTCCGCTAGCACCTCTCGCGGGCACGCCAACGCTGCAAGGACACCTGCAAGCGATTTGCGATGCTCGTGATGGTCACACGGCGGCTGTTCAAGCGGACCTACCAGCCGTCCTTCGTGCTGATTCTATTCTGCCCGATGACATTCAGTCCAATGGCACTCCTATGCGGCGTCTGAACGATGCTGATACCGTGCTCTTGACTGGTGCAACTGGATACCTCGGTGCCTTCCTTCTCAAGTACCTCGTGGAGACCACCTCAGCACATATTATCTGCCTCGTCCGCTTCACGGATCCCACCGACGAGATGCGTGCTGCTGGAATGGCTAGAATCCGAAAGAACCTGATCGATCTTGGCATCTGGGAAGACTCCCTCCTCGACAGAATGGAGGTTCTGCCCGGGAACTTGTCGCGAGAGCATCTCGGTCTTGCCTCAGAGGTTTATGATGACATTGTTTCCCGTGTTGAGGTCATCATTCACGCCGCTGCGACTGTCAACCTGGTTTATCCCTATGCGGCACTGAGAAGCCCCAATGTCGGCGGCACCAGAGAAATCCTACGTCTGGCATCAAAGAGTGGTGCCACCCTTCACCACGTTTCTACAAACGGTGTTTTGACACCATCTGTTGCAGGCCACTCTGAAGACGCCATGGTTGACATTGATGATGTTCCCGATAAGCTTATCGACGGATACGGACAGACCAAGTGGGTGGCTGAGAAGCTGGTCTACGAGGCCGCTCGTCGAGGTATGCCGTGTAAGGTCTACCGCCCTGGTACCATCAGTGGTCACAGTAAAACAGGCTCATGTAACGCATGGGATCTTCTGAATGCCCTGATCGTCGAGTCGTTACACCTCAAGACGGCTCCGTATGTTGACCAATGGTTCGCCGAAATGACGCCTGTCGATTTCGTTAGCGCAGCTATCACAACTCTCGCCAACCACACCGACTCTGAGCAGTTGGTCTACCACCTTGGTGACCCCAACCCGGTCTCTGCGAACTACATCTTCGACAGCCTGAATGAGCTCGGATTCCCAACCAAGCGCGTGCCCTGGGACGATTGGGTGGAGTTGTGGACCAAGAAGAGAGGTTTCGGCACCGCGGGCGACGTCCCTTTCACCGTTGACATCCTTCGCGGTGGTATGCCTACCGCAGAGACTCTCAAGGCTGTGACCGTCCTTAATGACGAGGCTACGGCTCCCGCTTTGCTCAAGTACAGCCTGCCTCGCCCCAAGATCGATACTGATCTACTCGAGACCTACACTCGTCACTTCTGTGCGAGAGGCTGGCTTTCTCGACCTCCGCGTCGAGCAAATGCTAACGGAGCTACATCTCGCGTCAACAAGGGTCGCCTGGCTGGCAAGGTTGCCGTTATCACTGGTGCCTCTTCCGGCATTGGTGCAGCTGTTGCCGCTGGGCTTGCTAAGGAGGGCGCCCATGTCGCTCTCGCGGCAAGGCGCACGGAAGCCCTGGAAGGTGTCAAGGCCAAGCTTGCCGGCACCAGCGGCAAGGTTCTCATTCACAAGACGGATGTGACGAAGAAGGAAGACGTTGAGTCGCTCATGCAGGCGGCAGCCGACAAGCTTGGGCCGGTCGATATTCTCGTCAGCTGCGCCGGTGTCATGTACTTCACCATGATGGCAAACAACCAGACTGACGAGTGGGAGCGTACTGTCGATGTCAATTGCAAGGGTCTCTTGCACTGCTTGTCGTCTACGGTCCCTGGCATGCTGGGCCGAGGAAAGGGCCACATTGTAGCCATCTCATCCGACGCTGGCCGCAAGGTCTTCCCCGGCCTGGGTGTTTACTCTGCTAGCAAGTTCTTTGTGGAAGCAACTCTGCAGAGCTTGCGTCTCGAGACGGCCGGTACGGGTCTCCGCGTCACCTCTATTCAACCTGGCAACACGGCTACAGAGCTGCTAGGTATCTCTACCGACGCCGAGGCTATCAAGAAGTACGGCGAGCCTACTGGTGCCAAGGTCCTGGACGCCGAGGATGTGGCTTCTTCGATTGTGTACGCCCTGTGTCAGCCAGAACATGTTGCCGTCAACGAAGTGCTCATCGAGCCTAGAGATGAGCCTATTTGATCCTCTCGGATCATCATTTGGCAGATAGATGGGAGGTTAGAGTGGATAGGCTTGCTATTGTATGGGATATAATTGTGTTTGCACGATTTTAATAATACATGAAACCGAAGTTCAAATGCCTTCCGATGCGCCCCTCATGAATTCATTACTCTTGTTGGCCACATGTAGTTGAATTGCCCTGTAGCTGTCGAGGCACAATTCTACAAGCTAAGGAACGCAGAGTGGTAGATTCTCCTCAACTATTCCGTCCATTAGCTTGCCGATCATTGACTTGTCACTTCCTTCCAACCTTTTCCATCTGAAAGTCGTCAATCTTGCATCAGCTACGGTAAACGTACGTCATTTTCCAAGCCTCCGAAGCACCCCCGATAGCCGTACCGACCGGTGCGGCGGTACCGAATGGGAGTGAAATGTTGAGGTAGTGGGTAAAAGCAGCAACAACGCTATTCCCCGTTAGATCCCTATACATGCATAATCCGTACAGTTCAAGATGCTTTGGCCATGGGGTGATAGGATCAAACATGGGATTTGACGATTGGCTCAAATCGAAATGCATTTGCGCTGCCCAGAAACCCCTGCAGTATCTCCCCCATCGGGACCCCGCCGCAATCACTTGGCCCGGGGGCCGGGGCACCTGCTTCCCGCCAGATCCACCGTCCCACAGGTTCCGAGGGGGAAGGAGGGCAAAGCCAGGGATCAAGCCACAACAAGATAGCAAAGTGTGGCTAGTACCAAGCTGTGGCTGCTCTTTTCGTTTTCACACCATTCACGCTAGAACGACCCCTAATCCTCGACATGGTGATATCGTGAAAGTGAGCGACTGACGACCAACGACTGCCTTTTGAGAAGTTGAGAAGTTTTGTTTCTGTTAGAATACCTCACAAACTGCGAGGGTTTCTTTGTGAGTCTGACCGACGACAACATCGGAACCCTGAGGCACCAGGGTTGACTCACACACCGTTGAAAAGGTGGCCCATGTGTCAAGATGAGTGACACGGAAAAAGTCGACGGGGCAGAAGGCATGATTTTCGAAATTTTGAAAAAGTCCTTAGATGGCACAACTGCAGCTCGTCTTGGAAAACTGAGCGTCCCAAAGCGGAAACCTGTTGAGACGCCAAACTACTATGCCGTCGCCTCGAGGGGTGTACTTCCTCATGTCACCCCGGATAATTTGAAGAAACATGCGCCATTCAGTGGAGCGTACATGGCGCTCGAGGACTGTAAGTAGTCGAATGATTCTGTCTAAACGTGTTTGTCGCGGCACGAAGCTAACTATCGACCAAAGTCATTGAGAAGAAGAACCCTTCAGCGCTTTCAATACCCTCGCCAGAAAAGAAGCCGCTCCACACCTTTTCTTGCCTACCCGAAAGCATAGCTACGGTTCTCGCTGCCAGAAGAAACCCAGCGGTTAAGACACCCGTGGGCAATGGCGCAAAGTTCGTGGCCATCTTCACCTCGACCGGCTTCAGGAACCTCTCTACCGACGAGTATTGTGCGGCTGTTGAGACGCTGAAGCCTGACATCGCCATCGGCCCAGCTGATCTGTTCCACACAAGCACGATGCCGGCCTCAAAGAAGCTTGTTCGCATGGCCGAGCGAACCGAGGAATGGACCGACGTGTTCCTGACGGCCAAGAGGCGCGATCTTTTCAAGGCGTCTGGGGTCTCGGTGTTCGCGCCTGTTCTTGCGGTGCCGTACACTGTGCAGTGGGAGTACCTTCGCCATCTTGCGGACGAGGTCATCGACTCGCTTTCGGGACTGGCTCTCTACGATGTTGATATCTTGCCCGACATCGAGGACCACCACAAATCCCTGAATGCTCTTCCTCGTCTGTCCTTGCACATTCCTGATACTCCGCAGGCCATTCTCCGACAGATTTCTCTGGGGGTCGACATTTGCACGATACCTTTCATCAACGCCATCTCCGACGCAGGTGTAGCGCTGTCCTTCACTTTCCCTCCCCCCGAAAGCCAAGGCAATGCTATCAAGCCTCTGGGCGACGACATGTGGGCTCCCGAAAACGAGGTGGCCATGGAACCCCTCTCTCAAGGCTGCAAGTGCTACGCCTGCACGACACACCACAGGGCTTTCCTCCACCATCTATTGAACGCCAAGGAGATGCTCGGCTGGACGCTGTTGCAGATTCACAACCACCAGGTGGTGGCCGACTTCTTCGCCGGAATCCGGGCGACCCTCGCAAAGGGCGGCGCGGAGTTTGAAGAGCACTCGCAGCGCTTCGTTGCGGCGTACGAAGCGGAGCTGCCGCAGGGTACGGGGACGAGACCGAGGGCGAGGGGTTACCACTTCAAGGGCGAGGCGAATCCTAGCAGGATCAACCCGCCGGCGTGGGTCGACTACGCTGCGGACGGCGAGGGCGGCGCGGCCAAGGCAAATGAGGCGACGGTGATAGCGGAGGGTACGGAAACGCCGCTTGTGCCAGATTTGGGCTCGCTGGAACTTGAAGAGAAGGGGTTCGCTGAGGTGGCTGGCAAGAAGCAGTAGTCCGGGACAACGGATGTTGTTCGCCTATGATGGACCGATGGATGATCAAGAGCCATAGTGGTTATCATCTACAATGCCAGCGAAAGGGGTAGGCCCTAGTGGTATCAAAATCACTAATCAAAACACTTGAGATAAGATGAATATCTTCTTCATCGCTCCACCCTTTGGGTATCTCTCGAATGACCAAGTCAACAGGGGCTAAAAAATCGGGATAGGAACACATGTTCATGGTCCTATCATCCACTACTCCAACACTAGACTCGTCACACGCCCCAGCTATCCCGTCCCAACGGGCTGCGATGCCTCAAATTTCGTTTCTGTTACGTTGAATCTGCCGGGAACCTGGCTATTCATTCCCCTAGCGAATCAACCACGGTGAGATGAGCGGTACGCAAGCCACTTGAGGCCGCGTCCTGAGGAGTTGCAAATTCTCCTACCATGCCAATGTCGGTGCTTGGTCAACTGTCACTCCATACGAATCCGCGTCGCCAAACATCGACGTTTTTAACACAAAGCAAAACCTTGAAATTGCGTTAAGCGACTTTGACTTATGTACATCAACCCCGTTCTTCTGCAACTCATTGCCTCTCAACAGCCTTGGGCTCCCACGAACGAATCTTGGGCTTCACTCTGCACCAATTGTCAGCATTTCCACCCCAATCGCGGGTGACGACACTTCACTCACGTGTTGTATGACTTGTAGGCTCCCGGGGTAGCCGTGAAGTTGGGAAGCACGTGTGGCACTTCCCACTTGCGAGTCTTGGTCTGGAGAAGGGCGTCCTCGGTGGGCGGCTTGTCGACCATGTACCCCAACCAAGCGTGCCAGCCAGGCTCAACTTGCGCCGAGTCGTAGTCGTGCACCTTGAAGTCCACCCAGCGCGTACGCACTATTCATTGCTTGTTAGCCCCACGGTCCGTCATTGTCCATTTGCTGGCGCTCTTCGCTTGGGAGGTTCCGTACGGGGAAGTTCGTCGTTGTTCTCGAAGTACTTGTTGCCGGCCTTGTCTTCGCCTACGAGACGACCATGCTTGGTGTCACCGATGTACTATTGTCGAGCGTTAGAGGGGCAATTGCGATCGGGGAGTTCGGGAGGCCATGTACCAGCAATTGGCGGAAATAGTTCTGGAAGCGAAAGTTAGCGGTGGCAGCGGCAGCTCTTGAACCAGAGGAATACTTGCCTTGATGCCAACCTTGCGCAGGTTGGCGATTGTTCTTCCGGGGGTCGACATGGTGGCGGCTGGTCAATTGACCTCAAGAAGCTATTGAATGCTGTCGACGATGTGATTGAAGACCTGACGTTTGGGAAGGTTGAGCGACGCTGGTGCCAAAGTGGAGCCCCGGATTACATAAACTCGAAGGCAATTGGCCTTTGGACTCCCTGGCGCTCACGGCAACCCCCGCCGCCAATGACAGAGCTTCATGCACGCACCCTTGTCCCCCTAGAACTTTGGAACCTCGAAAGCTCTCCGTCTTTGGATGAACTTTGCTCGGAAGACTACCTACTAGACATCCAGAAGTGGCGGTCCAATACCAAACGACGAATGCGACATGATTGTCCGTGGCGTGTCGCGGTGCTCTACCAAGCTCAAGCTCCCATTTGCTCGAACGAACATTACACGCGCTCAACCGCAATGTCGACAATTCGCGACGCCTGCCGCCGGTACCCCAACGGCTTCGAGCTCCGGTAGCACAGCTGGCATGCTTGCGCCTTTCGCAAACGAACTCGATAGGATCGCACCTTCTTTCAGCATCAACGGCTCCCAGATTCAAATTATCAGAACGCCGGCCGATTTCTACGAGATATTAAAGGTGTGCATCACGAACACGCGCAGCACTGGCTACGGATTTAGGGACTAATACGGGGTGTACCTTAGGAGCGGATACGGAATGCAAAGACGAGGATCTTCCTGTCAACGTTATACATCGGAAAGACAGAGAAAGAACTGGTCAGTTTGTATGGCATGCGCATGGGTATGAACAGGGCGCTGACGGTGGTCATGTCTAGATTGCGACCCTACACGAAGCTCTGCGAAACAATCCCGAGCTGAAGCTAAGCATTCTGACGGACGCCCTGCGAGGTACACGAGAGGAGCCGAATCCGTCATGCGCATCCCTTCTCGCACCACTCGTATCGGAGTTTGGCCCAGACAGAGTGGAAATCCGCATGTACCACACACCAAACCTGACGGGGTTGAGGAAGAAGTACATACCGAAGCGCATCAACGAGGGCTGGGGCCTACAACACATGAAGCTATATGGCGTCGATGATGAAATTATTCTCTCTGGGTATGTAGCTGCTGCAAGGTGATTCGAGTCGCGACTACGACTAACAACTATGTAGGGCGAACCTCTCATCAGACTACTTCACGAACCGACAAGATCGTTATCACCTCTTTTCCTCCAAAGAGGTCACCGACTACTTCTGGAACATCCACCAGGGCGTATCGTCTTTCAGCTTTCTTGTTGAGCCTTCGCAAGAACCTGCTGGCTTTGCCTTGACCTGGCCCAAGTCTAATCCCGCGCCGTCTCCCCTAAAAGAGCCTAAGCAGTTCATCGGCACAACGACCCCTGCCCTCAATGCTCTGATTTCGCCCACGCAAGCAGCCTCTGCGGACGTGAGCAAAGACACCAAGGTCTACATGCTCTCCCAACTCACACAGCTAATGAGCCCCAACACCTCTACAGAGCTTCCCGCCGTAACTCATGTACTATCAACACTCGGCAAGCCCGAGTACGCCGGCTCGTCGTGGACCTTCACCGCAGGTTATTTCAACCCTGCGCCGTCACTGACCAAGCTGCTGCTTTCGACAGCATCACAAAACAATGTCGTTATCACCGCCTCCCAGCAGGCCAATGGTTTCTACCAATCCCCAGGCGTGTCTGGACTCTTGCCAGGCGCCTACACCCTCCTCGCGCGCCGCTTCGTCCGCGCCGTCCACGACCGCAAGCTCGACGACTCAATCGCTCTCAAGGAGTGGCGCAAGGGAATAATTGGCGAGCCCGGCGGCTGGACATACCATGCCAAGGGCCTCTGGATCACGCTGCCGGGAGAACAAAATCCATCGATCAGTATTGTGGGAAGTTCCAACTATACGAAACGCAGCTATACCCACGATCTTGAGGCTGGTGCCATGATCCTCACAAAGGACGAAGACCTCAAGAAGCGCCTCGGCGAGGAGCAGACGTGGCTGCAAGATCACGCTGAGCGAGTCACCCGTGAGGACTTTTCCAAGAATGAGAGGCGGGTTGGCGTCCAAGTGAGGATAGCCATGTGGATCGCCCAGGCCGTGGGCGGTGCTTTGTAAACCTTCTACGGTGTAAGATAGATAGACTTGGAGCTACTCAGACTCTGTGGGTGTATGTCTGACGTATGGGCTCTTATGGACGACGTGGATAATAAAGATACCCGTGACTTTGGTTGTCAATTATCATTTACTGTGTCAAATTTTTTATGTGATTGCTGCAAAGGACACATGCGCGCGGAAGAACATAGAGAGCGACGATACTGCCAGAGTCAAATGAAACAGGAAGAAACAGAGCTGCTCTAAGTTATGACGGGCCAAAAATCTATCAGTCGGTTGGAATTGTATCTCGTGTGAGCAAAAGTTTCCGAAACCGAGAATCGAACTCGGGGCTATGCCTAACCTCCCACAGAATTGAGAGGGCATCATGTTGGCCACTACACCATATCGGATGCTATTGAAAGTTTTGCTGAATTTGCAATTCTTGTTGCTAGCCTGCTGGCCCAGCTCGTCAAAGCCGGATCTTACAGTGGTGTTCCAGCGCCCCAACATCCAAAAATCCAGGGCTCTTCAGCGCTGTAGTACCTAAAACTTCAGCACGCCCCCAAATCCCGCGTAGCTGGGCGGCAGCCATCGAATCGGAAAAACTAGATTTGCAATTATTCCGTCCACCGCAGCGATTGGTCCATCCAGCCGTGCACACGGCGGGTACGCGGACCTCTCACACACCTTGCAGCCCGTCACCACCGGGGGAAGCTTCACATCGTATCTCGAATCGTACGGCCCAATCCAATCGAACTACTCACCCAATTCTACGCCCCGGCGGACAAAGCGGCCCACCTTCGTCAGTCGACTGACCACCATCCTCCCGAGACGAAACACATATCTTAACCGCGACAATGGTCGGCAGGGTCCTCTTCTGGAGTGGCTTCGGTGCGTGATGCCTCCCTCCCCCTTCATCAGGCGACGACATTCTACGGAACGAACCTCCCGTATGTGCCATGGAGGCCAATGGGGTCGGATTCACGAGAGAATAGTCACTAGCCTCTTCTTCGCGCCGCAAACGTTGGGAATCTTCAAGACGTAGTCCACTAACATTCGACGTTTAACTAACAGGCTTCGCCGTCCGCTTCTGGCAAATGGGCATTGAAATGCGCCCCTTCTTCAACAAGGAGTCCCTCTGGGTCTACCCGGTCTACATGCTCGGCGGTGGGGGCTTCGGCTACTGGCTCCAGGGCGTCGACGAGAGGCAGTCGTCCATTCTCAGCGAGCGCAAGTCCATTCTGCTCGAGAAGCGCGCGAGGGCGGCGGCGCGCAAGGAGGCGGAGCAGTCATAAAGACTACGAAATTGGAGCAGTGGACGAATCATCGACAAGAAAGAGAGAGACAGAGGGCGAGGAAGGGACCAAACTCAAAGGCTTTCGAGATGGAAACAAGCTTTGTGACGCCCGTCTGAGTGAGGAAGAGGCAGAAGGGGGCCGGTCAATTCGGGTGTGGTCGATTCGGGACCTCGAAAAATCATTCTCGTTCTAGAGGAGGAACTGGAATTGCGCGGGAACTGACCAGGACGCCAATTGGGAAATCCCCTTAAGAGTCCCTTTGTATATGTTACGTAGAGAGGGGGAGAGGCTTAATTGACGCCGTAAAAGTCATTGATATCTACAGTGTCATCTCCGGGGCATCCCCATCATCAAGTTGGTACTAGGACGTTCTTCAGGACTGCTTCTCATGCTCAATTGATCTACGGTGCAACCTCAATCGAGCTTTCATGACTGGTATCTAACTAAAGGGGTCACCGCAGCAGAACCCCTTACCCCCCCTCAAGACTTTCCCCATGGCTGCTACAATCACCACCTGCCCCGTTTCTACGCCCTTGCTCTACAACTCCTCCAGCTTCCGGAGAATGGCAGGCACAGACACAGGCGACGTGATGCCGAGCTCCGTAACGACCACTGAGATGTAGCGGTCACGGGTGGTGTCAAACAGCAGTCTGAAAGCCTCCTCGGTGTTCTGCTCCGGGTCAATCTCGTTATACGTGAGCGAGTCCATGGCGACCCTCTCGGTAAAGTTGATGGTCTCGCTAAGAGCCATGACCCGAATACCCTGATCAGCCGCCGCAATGGCAATATCGCTCGTGCCGGCCCTGGCGTACATGGCACCGTTGCTGAACATGGCCTCCGCGCCGACCAACACACGCGACGTATCGCGGAGGTGGTCCCGCATGGCGCTCAGGTCGGGGCTGTAGGCCACCTCGACGCCCTGCAGGGCGCGCAGTCGCTTCGCGAGGTCACGGCCGGTGCTCTCAAAGGGGTCGTCGACGACGGTGACGGAGAACCTCTTGCCGTCGGCGTGGGCCTGGCGGAGGGCGCGCTCGACGAGCGGATGGTGGGCGTACGTCAGGACAACTTCGCCGTCGGCGATGTTGTCGGCGGCGGTCTTGACGATGACGAAGTCGGCAAGGGTGATGCGCTCGCGGATGAAGTTGTCGACCGACTCGCGGAGGAGCTTCTTGGCCTCGAAGTCGGGCAGGTCAATGTCGATCTTGCTGACCTGGAGCTTGAGCCAGCGGACGGCATTGCCCATGGAGAAGCACATGGGTCTGCATGCCGACAGGTACTCGATCTGAGGGTTCAGGATGTGTGATGTGAAGTGGCGGGAGAATGTGTTGCCCGGGGGTGTTGTGTAAGAATCAATCACCTAATTCAACGTTAGGGGACTCGCACTTTATATTGGATTCGGACAACGCGCAGTAGTTGGCTTACCTTCTTGAATGCCAACAAAGTCGCCTCTAGTCTTGTGGTACTGTCGGTGATTGCAAACGCGCTCATCTGCTGTCCCAGAGCCAGAACTGCCGGATGGACGTCCTTATCGACCTCCGTCATGTGTATCCTCTTGGCCATAGACAGGTGGCTGAAGCACTCAGGGACCTTGGGTCTGGTGTCCTTGGGAATCGCGACCGGAACGGCCTTGACCGCAGGTCCACCTCTCGCTCCGCCGGCGCCCTGGGGACCGTCTTGTCGGGGTTTCGACTTTCCTCCTTTTGCGTCTCCTCCTCCGGTCTGCTGAGCTCCTCCCTGGCCAGGCGGTGGTGCTGGTTGCGCCTCCTTGGCCTTTGCTCTTCTCGCCGCCTTCTCGGCCTTCGCCCTCGCCTTCAGCTCGGCACCTGACAGCTTCTTCTCGCCTCCCTCTGCTGCTGGAGCAGCCGATGCGTCCTTATTCTGAGCTCCGCCATCTTTCTTGGCAGGTTGCTGAGCCTTTTTGTCTTCGACAGCCTTCGGCGGCTCGGTGTTTGGTGTCTCTGTCGCCATTGCTCCGTGCCTCTTCCCCTCTATTGTGTCGCAGTATTTCTCTGGAGGGCTTAGTTCGGTTTTGACCGACGGTCTTGCAGAAATGGATCGTTTGTGTTGAATTTAGGAGCTTTTGTCGAGGCTCCTTCGGGTTGGCGGTCGGAGTTTCCTTTGATCGAGTCAAAAAGGCTGAGAAGTTTTGGAGGGTTGAGTCACAGGGGTTTGCAAGGCGGGATGCGACGGGTGCCCCGCGCTAAAAGCTCGCTAAAGCTTACCTGCATGGTGCGGGGAGTGACGTTCTTGGTTGTGGTGCCAATCACTGCTCAACGGTGCACTTGAATGCTGCAGCCATCTAAATGAACAAAGCTTGTCATCTCTGTTTTCAGATGTTCATTGACTTATGAGAAAGACAAATTTATACTACAAAGACTCCCAGTCACTTTCACTTGGTGCAAGAATGCAACAACAATGCCGGGCAAGCTAAGCCAAAGGAGTCTAGTTGTACTCCATGACCGCACTGTGAAAGATTCATAAGCACTGACTTTCCATAGAGGAAGGGTGTTTCCTCTAGGCAAGTGTTGAACAGGTATTGAAATGCTCTACCAATCCCATCGACGATGATCATAATCCTAGACACGGATTACTTATCACTTGATTCAAGAGATAGTTGTCAGAGTTCTGTAACACCGTGGTACGCTTCGCGCTCCTCTATCCAATTTGTACTCTGTCATAGAGAATTAGAGTTCAATTCAATCTCAACGTCTTGAAGACAAGTGACATGCCGAAGGGTAATGAGACACAAGGGTGACGGCTGCTCTATGCAGACAGCAAACCCCTTTCTACTAGTTTTCTATGGTACAAGCCTTTCAGTTAGGTTTTGATGTACAAGTTAACACCAACTCCATCCAAATCGTAGGTGCCATCTTATGGAGTCTTCGAGCACAGCTCAACCACCCCGAGTCTCAAGCAGCCTGCCACGACATCAGGTCGATGCTTCCGGCGCAGCGTCTGCAGCCGATGCTTCTTGTGCAGGAGCAGCCTTCGCTGCGGGCTTCGCTGTCGATTCCAAGTGTAGCCTCATAACCTTGCGCGGTTGTCCCTCGGCCTCCTTGTACTCTCTGGCGCCAGCAACCTCCGCCACAGCATCCCGGACCTGCTGTACAAGCGCGCCGGCCTCTTCCAAGGTAGCAATCCTGCTATTCTTCTTCTTCGCAAAGATGACCTCAACCTTGTACCCCTTTTCCAGGAACGTCTTCATCTGCTTCATCTTGTGGCCCATGTCGTGCGGCGCGATGGCCCAGTTGAGCTCGAGCTCCTTGACCCTCGCCAACCTGCGCGCGTTATCCTTCTTGGCCTTTTGCAGCGCCCTCTCCTTCTCCTTCTCGGCGACCTTGTCGACGATGCGGCAGATTGCAAACGGCGGCTGGCCTGGCGCAGGGCGCGGTGGTGGTCTGGAGACCATTCGGAGGGATTGCGTCTCGGGGTCGAGCGACCTTAGAAACGTTCGGGTGTTATGCGGGCCGGTGAGCTTGTTGTTCTCGTCGACGACCATGACTTCACGATCGGAAATCGCCCTGTCCTGGGGAAGCTGGCCTGGCTTAGCAGCAGCGTCGCCGCCAGATACTTGGCCTGATGGCGATGGCTTCTTCTTCTTGAATCGGGGAATAAGGGCGGCGTGGCGCGCGAAACCTTGTAGCGGCGGTGACAGGATTGTTGGTAGGGCTCTAGGGACTGGACTCAGGAGAGCGCTTCGTCGCGAAATCGATTCGATATTTTCAAAGGGCGAGACGAAGACCCTATGCAGGGCCGTCCTGCTGTTGTACAGGCATCGTGTGATCCTCATGATTGTTCGGGTATCCCGCTCTTTGGTAAGAATTCCGTCTCGGGGTTTCAGGGGTGTCGGTCCGGGTACGAATCTGCCAGTCTCACTGTTGTTGTACGGTTGCCGTTTGCGGCTGAACCTGTGATTGCAAGATGCAGAATTAAGGAACAGAAGCAGGCGGAAGACACATGGGGTCTTGTTAAGGTAGCTCTCCCGCCAATCACGCATCACAATCTCATGCGACGAGCTTTCGATGGTCCAAGCTCCCGCGGAACGCCGGCTCCGCGTGTCTCGTCTTTTGCACCCCGTCTTAACGCCCTGAATCACCTAAGATCAAACATTCTG